TCCCGCTGAAGTCAGAGGGAGTTTTAAATGGGCACAGAATGCAAAACTGGCCCCATATTTCACATGTGTTAGCTACAGTCTAATACAGTGAGATAAAGAAGGGAGGAGGCACTCACCCTTACAAAGCTGGCAGGAAACCATCCTTCTTCATCATCAATCTGACCCCACCACCAGTCCTTGTTGGAAGCATCCAGGACCTTGATAACGTCTCCTGCTTTAAACGCCAACTCCCGGTTGGCCATGGTGACGTGATCCCATACTGCCTCAGCACTTACAATAGAACCACCACTGATCAGCTTTAAAAACAAAACAAGAGACAGTCAGCAAACGTTCTGTCCAGGGACTCAAATACATTCACATACACAATGCATAAAACAAAACACTCAGCTAGAATAAACAATTCCCCCCATTTATTATCACTGTAATTGCCATCCCCGTTTACACTAATAATATGTTATTTAAACCCTGCTATCACTTAACTAGATGGAATATTCTATTTTGTAGTCGCTAAAAGCCTGATTCTGAGAGGTGCTGAAGTGAACAATGTTTGCCAGGGCTCAGAATCCCTCAGGATCAAGACCTACGTAATTAACAAATAAAAACCCTGCCCTATCTTTAAGCCACACAGATGCTTTTTCAAGAAACCAGGATGTGTATTGTAGTTATGGCATCTTGGCAAGGGATTTTAGCAACAGGGCAATCTTTTATATTTTCCTTGGCAAAGCAGTGAATTCCTATCTTGACGTGGGTGAGATTTTGCAGACAATTCCAATTAATGGATGATCATTTTTGTCAAATTTCCACATGAATTTTGTTCCAGTATTATGTTGGCCATCCTGGAGGCTAGAATCCTCTATCTACAAAGTACGTGCAACATGGGCATTTGGCAGAACAAACTTTAGCTGTACCACCCTACTGCTTGGTCTCAAGCCAGCTGCAGGGAAGATCAGACTTAAGAGTCCATAGGATTCCACCCTTGTTCTGTTTGCTGAGAACAGCCCATTTAGTGTTGATTGTGTGATAGGTTTCATGATGCAAACACTTTTCCACTGGAAACTAGATGGAGACCCCAAATTCATCTCCCACAGGCTACAATGAACATGGAGCACTCAGGTTAGGCTAGTTTCATAGCAGTGGCCTAGAGGCTAAAGATACTGTTTTCTATTAGCAGTTTTCTGAGCCATCTAATCTTCCACAACCCCCACATTAACATTTGCAGAAATGAATCATGTCAACCCTACTCCTTGTTATGTCTAGTTGAGGACAATCCAATTGTAACTGAGATTACCCGTTGCTTCACAATGATGCTCACTGTTTTAAACAGGATAATAAATTGTGCTTATGCTTTATTCAGTGAACGAATTCTGCACTGAGCAATAAGACTGGATGGGTATACATAGCCTGGTGACCATGCTAGAAAGGGACAGCTTTACATGTGCTAGTTACACAGCTCCTTCTCGGATCACGTCCTCCAATCCTGCTCTTTAACTCTGTAGCCTGAGCTGTATTAGATGCGGCTGATATGAGCTCCGTTCCTAATAAGTATTTCATTTCAGAAAGCGAGAGAACCAACTCTTCAGCCATTAGGGACTTTCCACATGGCCAGAACTTAACAGCCACAGACATCCACTCAATTTAGGTTAACAATGCAAGACACACAAAAGAAAACAACCCATCATGCAGGCTATATAAAAACACAGGTGCTGCGAATTGTTAAATGATTCTAACTCCACTTCTCGAAGTTCAGCCAGTAAAGAAATGTCTGATCACAAATTTGCCTGCATGGAAAGAATTTGCTGTAAATCTTTCAATGCTGTTGCACAGGTTCTGAGTGTATAAGAACATCTAGCATCCCCACGAGTAGATTTGCAGGATTTGTTTTCCCCTATTCCTTGAGCTGACAATCCTCTAAGTCAGGGGTGAGGAACCTTAGGATTGGGGGCTGGATACAACTCCCAACTTGCCAGATCTGGCCTCCGATGTTCAGGGCTCCCCCCAAGAACAGGGGGGCCTGTTCTGGTACTTCAGCCCCCCTACCTCTGTGGGACTGGAGCACACAGAATCTACTAACCTGGTCCCCTCAAGGCTGTGGTGTACAAGGGGAATGTCTCTCACTTGTGTGCAGTCCCTGAATAATTTTTTTGTGGGTCAGCAGCCCGACCCAAAAAAGGTTTCCCACCCCTATTCTAAGAAGTCAAGTTTCATATGTTGTGAAAAATATCCGTGGGCATCCAACTCTTCAGTTATCAGACTTAGTTGTGCACAGAAACAAAATCTAGATCAAGCTTGATACTTAATGCTTTTATCTTCAAAGCATACTATAAGCACTGACTGTTCTCCCCATCAGCATGAGGTATGGTATGATTAGTTACACCCCGTTTTACAAATGAGTAAATTGAGGCAGCGAGGTTACATGACATTCCCCAGGCCACAAAAGGAGTGAGTTTCAGAGAACAGCTCTGAACTCAGGAGTCACTCATTCCATGTCCTGTGCCCAAAACCCGTTGGACTGCACCTCTGCCTTTTCCATCAAACCAGTAGATTGCTTATAATTTGCAATTTCTCCCAGCGATTTTGTCAGGTTCCAGCATTTTCCAAGTGACACCCAGCTTTGGGGGACTAGTAGCAGAAAACACATTAAGTACTTGCTACTAAAAGTGACAATTTACTTGTCCTCTAGTCCAGAGACAAGTGAAGAAAAATATTCTGTCTACAAATTTCTATTTTACAGCTCTTTCTGGAACGCTCAGTAAATGAATCAAAAACAGTCTCCTTATACTCTCACTACAGAGACAGCTTGATAAGGGGACCTATTTATCCAGATGCCTTAATGGACTAGCACGGAATGTAATCTACCCACTGTTATGTATTTAGCTTCCACCCAGATGTCATAGCCTAGGCATTGGTGCAGAGCTCATTGTGCAAGGTGCAGGTCCAGCGGAACTTAATGGGCATTGATAACACTTCACAGGAGGTGCTCAGCATGTCAGAACACTGGGCTCTATACAAGTATTATGGTAGTTTGGCAAGAATTAGTCTGGAAAAACAATGCAGGTTATGATGACCAACTCCTGAATGTAGACTCTCTACAACACCCTTATCACGGGACATGCTTGTGTGAAGTTTTTGAGATGGTCAAATCATTTTATTTGATGAATTTCTTGATATTTTCCCTAATTACTCAGTGAATGTTTTTAAACATTATTTGCACAGCTGGAACTCTAGGCTGATAATTCAACCAACCTATTTGCAAATGTGATAAATTTTGCAGTTTATTTCAAATAAACCATTTGTCCAGCTCTGGAGAGGAGACAGGTACTACAGGACTTCTTTATCACAATACACAGCATTTTTCTAACACAACTGGCCCTCACAAACACAAATCAGTTAACTCTCCAATAAGCCGCTATAATAAATCAAGGTGGGAATTAGCTTCTTTGTAGATGTGGAAACCCAGGCACAGAGTTTAAGTGACATGATCCATGTCACACAAGCCAATGCTAGAGTACGAAAATGGAATCTAGGTCTCCTAACTACCAAGTTCCGTGTTTTACACACAGCCCATCTTTATGTATGTCTGTTGTTTCCACTAAAGTTTTTCATGTCAAATTAATTGTGGATAGTCTCTCTCCAGGACACATTACATGGTCCGTGTTGTGTATTTTAATTCATAATTATATTAATCATTTTTCTAGTTTAGGCCCCTCAGAAAAGTAAAATCTACCAGTTACTAATATGGCTAATACTCATGCTCAAGATATCCTAGGAATAGGACTATTGCACAAAAGGGTTTAATCTCTACCCCACCATCCATACCTTCCACTATCCCTCTGCACATGATTTTTCCTGGGCATTGGATCCAAACACACAAATATTTATTAGACTGAATTTCAGAGTGATTTGATTTTAGATTTCTCACTATGCTGCAGGGTGGAGTAACCTGAGCCTGATGTACACAGTTCTAATCCTAAGAAGCGTGCCAGCATCAGCAGTAAATTTGCTCTTGGCCCAATGAGGGCTGCTTGCTGGACATTGCTCTTCCTTTAGCACTGAGAGCATGTGAAAGGCTCTTTCACTAGACCTCAGAGGTGAAAGAAGGTGTTTGTTGATACTCAAGGTGTAAAGAAGGTCCAAATACTTTCACTTTTTACTCTTCAGTGCCACAGGACAGAACAAAGATCCCAGGTTATTTTACTGCAACTTCCTTCCTGTCCTCATTCTGAGACTCGAGCTAAGGAATGGGAATCCCATTGGACAGAATCCAGGGAGGGTGGCTGTACCTTCTAGAACCCAAATAAGGCACAATCTAAAACAAAAGGGACTGAGTTTGGATGGCAGGATTCAGGCTCCAGCCAACACATACGTTGCACTCACTGAAAAAATGTCATGACCAAAAAAAGAAAAGTCCAATTCCCTTCTCTGGTTCATGTTGCGAGAAATCAGGCTACATCTGTAAGGCCACCTGACTAACACAAGGCAGGGTTAGAGAAATGGAGTTTGACATCTGCAGCAGAAACCACAGATGATGAACTAGAGACCAGTCAGAATCAAATTATATTAAATCTTTGGAACTTCAGATCTAGAGTCAAACACGCCAGATTCATCTTATATTTCCAGTTCACTTTTGTTCAGTCTCTTTCAACATTTGTGATGACCATACTTGCTTTGGTGATTCTGTCTACTTTCAGTTTGTTTTTATGGGAAGCAATCCCATTCCAGGCACATCCCATTTTCCTGGCACAACTAAACCCTTATGTTGATTTAAGTTATGATCAGAGGAAGCTAAATACCAAATTTGGTGGGCTTAGCTCTTCCTGTTTAGGAGGTATTCTTGATCAAACAGACAGGCAAACACACAAACTCCTTAAAATATATAGTAGGCAATATGAGCAAGGCTGTTCTCGTGGCAAATCAAACCAGGACAATGGCAGTAAGTACCAGAAGTCTCATGAGAAATCCTGATCTGACCAGATTTTCAGCCCAACAAGGGTTGGATGAGTTTGCAGTGGCAGCTGAACTTTGAGATCCCTTTTTAAATCAATTTTTCCAAATGGAGTGGAGCCTGAATAAAACCTCGGACTTGAATGGGTGCTGGGAAAGTAGAATCTGGATTCATGTGTTATGGCATGGGCCCAAAGCTGCTTCTAGTTTCTTAAAGTTCACTCATCACGTACATAACCAATAACAGTGTGCAACAGAGACAAACTATGGGAGCAAGTACTTTTCCAGCCATGGAAACACAGATGATGATCATTTGCTTTTGTTTCTGACGCATAATGAATTCAGCAACCACTGT